TCCATAAAATGTGCTGCACACATCTGAATATTTGGGTTGAAGTGTTCTGGAACAGTGTTGTAAATACAAGTTAACCACTGATTTCTAGTCGTGTCCATTTTTGGAAGGCCAAACAAAGTAGTTTCGCTTTCACAATGAATCACACAGTGCCTTCACGACATGGCGGCGGCAACAATACTACAGCGAGAATAAAAGTTACGCCTTCTTTCTTTGCGTGAACATTTGGGCGGTGTTATGCAAATTAGCCCACATCGTAACGTAGATATGTGGGGGTGTGTTAGAACGAGCCGTTTATGTAGGCGTGGCTGACTCTTAACTTTTATAAACAAAGTAGTTTCGCTTTCACAATGAATCACACAGTGCCTTCACGACATGGCGGCGGCAACAATACTACAGCGAGAATAAAAGTTACGCCTTCTTTCTTTGCGTGAACATTTGGGCGGTGTTATGCAAATTAGCCCACATCGTAACGTAGATATGTGGGGGGGTGTTAGAACGAGCCGTTTATGTAGGCGTGGCTGACTCTTAACTTTTATAAAGAATATCTCTTTGGATTTGAGACTTTAGTCTTTGCAACTTTACAGATCTTCTTTATGCACCAAGAGCTTGTAACACTCCAAAGTGTTCAAAAATTTAAATTGCATCATATGACCCCTTTAAGAACAAAAAGTAACCTACATCTTAGATGGCCTGAGGGTCATTAAATTAACAGCATTCTTTCATTTTTGGGTGAACTATCCCTTTAGAGGTTCTTTATGGAACCATCATTGCAAATAATATAGAGTGTAGGAGTCTAAATTCTCATAAAATCTGCTAGTGTAGCTAAAATTGCCAAAGAGGTTGATCAGGAAGTTATTTCAAATAACAGGAAGCTGTTTTCTATAGATATGAACTTTCACTTTAGTACATTTATAGTACATCTCTTAGACCACAGGGTATTGACCTCCAGGACTGGACACCAGTGTACTCATTGCGGTTTTAGGGTACTTTGCATACTCCCTCGTTTATGGAAACTCATTTGAGAGCTGAAATATAAACTTCCTCCAAGCTTTACCTGAATCCCTCACATCTCTGAGCCTATTGTTCTCCTTCAGCTTTCCCCCGAGGCTGCTGGATATTTCGGACAGAATTTCTTACAGCCTGAAGTGCTTGCTGGTTTTCAGTTCAGTATGACTCATCCTCTGTGTCTATGACATTTTTCTCTATGCACTTTGAGCCACAAACTCAGCCAACATCATTAAAGTCACACCAGCTCTGAGAAGTCCTTCTGGTTACTCGGCATGTCAAGGAAGGAAAGCTAACCAACACTGAGTGCCAGGGTATTGTTTTGAGCCTCTCTCAAGTTGTATAAGTGATCAGCAGACATTTAGGTTGCAGTGTGAGAACAGATACAGGAAATAAGAGCGTTATGAATAAGCACTGATTTGGGATTATCATTCATATTCCTGGGAATGTTTTTTTGTTGTTGTTATTCTTGAGAGCATTGATGTGCTGTAAATTGAGAATGGATGCCAGGTGGTGGGAGACAACCAAATCTTCCCTCGGGGAGCACATAGATCATAAGCTTTGGGGTTTCCTCCTCTACACATAAAGTTCTTGGCAATATGATCCAAGGTAATGCGTATAATCTATTATGCAGTGTTCCTAATATGCAATGTTCCTTAAAAAAAAACAGGGGTGTCAAAACAGTTCTTGTTGCATCTATGTAACCTGTTATTCGTATTGTGCAACAGAGACTTCCTTTCCCATCAGATTTGATTGAACTGCTTTGTTTGACTGTTCAATTTCGGTTTTAAAATAGATGGATCAGGGCGTTTTAATTTACAGTGGTTGTTTCTAAATGAAGATTTCCCTATTGGGAAGGATTATTTTCTGCTGGCCAGAAGAAAAAAAAAGAATTTAAATTATACATCGCCTATAGAAATATTTTTATATTTCTTTCAAATGTTTTTTTCTCTCGATCATTAATTTTTTTTTTCAAAAGAAGAAAATGCTGCACTTATGTAAGTCGATGAGTTCGTAGACACATAAAATGCGTTTAAGGTATTTAAAGAAGCTTTCATAACTATCACTATCAAGTCATTTTCGCAATTTAATTTCAATCAAACCTCATCTATGTTAAACAATTAGATAAAATGATCTAGGTGACAAATCGGCAATAATCGTTATTTGCAATAACGTAGAATACAACACTGAAAACTATATGTTTGTTTACAAGGCATAAAAATGGATGTACAGTATGAATGAATGCTAACTTTTCAGTGACAAATCAGAAGTGACCTAGAAGGACAAGGGTGAGTCCTGTCAACTGGACAGTGATGTCATCTGATGGTCTTATATTAAAATCCAGACCAAGTTTGGTTCTTGTCAGTTTTGTCAACAAGTACTTGATGGAGCTGTGGTGTCATATCGTTAATTGGTCCGTGATCAATTTTTATAACTATGACGTTTATCCAATTTCATTCTTGATTATTGATATATTACTTGATGGTTCCAACATGGTTAATATTTTAGTTAATATGCTGTGTATAGTGTGCAAAACCTTACACATACCTACACCGCATTGCGCCGTGCTGGAAAAACATGAGGCTGTCTACACTGGGTGTGACAAAGCGACTAGTTTAAACCCATTTGTCCATCATGTCAGAAGTAGCTCAGGCACTTAGAGTAAAAAAAACGGGAATTTTTAGTGTTGTTTCGTGTTATTATTGGGTTTTATCATGATATTCTTGATTTTATTTTCCCCATCCGTTTTGTTGTTTGAGTTGTTTTTCCTTGAACTCACATGGAATCTTGAACTCACATGGTCACATCTTATCTGCCATAACTATAGCCAGTGAGGATATGTAACGGTCACAGTCAAATACAAAAGATTTGCTAGTAAAATGTTACATTCACCGCAGTTTATTGTTTTGTACGTTGTACTTGATAGTTTAATAATTGTACATTGACTTGTAAAATGACTTTATAGTGGTCATAAATGCAATAGGTAACCTAGAGAAGGTAAAGCATGAAAGTCTATCCAGCCAAAATGATCTTATCTATGTGTCCAATCCTCTACCTCACACTCTTTCAGTTTTACCTGTGCATGAATATAGTAGTTCACGTTAGGCTTGCCGTGATAGACGGTGTTGACGGTGATATGGTATTAAACCGCAACACCGGTTACATCACTTGCCCACCGCGTCACCGACCCCCACCGTCGTTTAGATTTTTTATAGTAATAAAAATAATTTAGTTCAGTAAAAGAACAGATACTACAATTAAAAACTGAATGCGGCTGCTCAATGTAGCGTGCCGAACGACAGTCGCATCACACAGATCAGATTTAATTTATCCAGTGAGTCGAGCTGACAGACAAGACGATCGCGGATGATTTAGTTTCGAAACGAGATGCAAAAGCGCCTATTTGGCAATATTTTGGATTTTGAAAAGCCTGTTGACTTTTGCCGTTTTATTTGGTTATATATTATACGTTTACTTATTTCCAGTTTTGTATACCTACTAAACTTTATGTAAGTTTACGAACTTTATGTAACTTTATTTGTTGTTTTATGTTAGGCATAGCTTGCCCTATAGCATGGTGTATTTTTATTTGTTTTGTTAATAAAAGTTCCATGTTTTATATATATGCTAAAGTGAGTTTGAATATTGTATTTTGTTGTTGCATTCAAGCAATTGACGCCGAACTGCTGTTAATTCAAAAGTGAAAGTAAAATGCGCACGGCGCTTTTAAGCTATTTAAAAGTGAAGGAAAGCGGAGGAAAAGAGGGAAAATTCAAACGAACAATTGCTTTACTCCGAATTGCCGCTATTTGAAAGTGAAAGTAAAATGGGCACACCGCTTTTACAAGCTATTTAAAAGCGAAGGAAAGCGAGGAAAAGAGGTCTATGTGTCCAATCCTCTACCTCACACTCTTTCAGTTTTACCTGTGCATGAATATAGTAGTTCACGTTAGGCTTGCCGTGATAGACGGTGTTGACGGTGATATGGTATTAAACCGCAACACCGGTTACATCACTTGCCCACCGCGTCACCGACCCCCACCGTCGTTTAGATTTTTTATAGTAATAAAAATAATTTAGTTCAGTAAAAGAACAGATACTACAATTAAAAACTGAATGCGGCTGCTCAATGTAGCGTGCCGAACGACAGTCGCATCACACAGATCAGATTTAATTTATCCAGTGAGTCGAGCTGACAGACAAGACGATCGCGGATGATTTAGTTTCGAAACGAGATGCAAAAGCGCCTATTTGGCAATATTTTGGATTTTGAAAAGCCTGTTGACTTTTGCCGTTTTATTTGGTTATATATTATACGTTTACTTATTTCCAGTTTTGTATACCTACTAAACTTTATGTAAGTTTACGAACTTTATGTAACTTTATTTGTTGTTTTATGTTAGGCATAGCTTGCCCTATAGCATGGTGTATTTTTATTTGTTTTGTTAATAAAAGTTCCATGTTTTATATATATGCTAAAGTGAGTTTGAATATTGTATTTTGTTGTTGCATTCAAGCAATTGACGCCGAACTGCTGTTAATTCAAAAGTGAAAGTAAAATGCGCACGGCGCTTTTAAGCTATTTAAAAGTGAAGGAAAGCGGAGGAAAAGAGGGAAAATTCAAACGAACAATTGCTTTACTCCGAATTGCCGCTATTTGAAAGTGAAAGTAAAATGGGCAAACCGCTTTTCAAAGCAAAGTGAAAGTAAAATGCGCACGGCGCTTTTAAGCTATTTAAAAGTGAAGGAAAGCGGAGGAAAAGAGGGAAAATTCAAACGAACAATTGCTTTACTCCGAATTGCCGCTATTTGAAAGTGAAAGTAAAATGGGCACACCGCTTTTACAAGCTATTTAAAAGCGAAGGAAAGCGAGGAAAAGAGGAAACGCCCGCCCCCGCGGTGATACCGGTATTACCGGTGTTATCACACGTCGATTAACTGGTGGGAAATTTTCCTCACTGTCACAACCCTAGTTCACTTCCCCATTGCAGCAGGTAGACATGGCCAGTCAAGTTGCAGTCCGTTTTGTGGATAATGTAAGTTTGCTTTATTTCTTTCGTGATATAGCCTTGTTCATGGTTGGAAGGTTATCTGGCGAAAATCAATCAATTTCTTAATTATTGTTTGTTTGTTTATTTATGATATTCTTATATATTTTCAGAAATATATTTTTTTTACTTTTATGAGGAAAAACAAGTTTTACAGTTCTCATTTAGCTAATTTACAGGTTTGCAGCTCAGTATTTAGATGAGTTTAGTGAAAAGAGAAGTGCAATAAAGAAAAGCAATTTCGTGCACTATAGGTCTTTTTTCACTTGGACTTGAGGACGCATTTCCCTTGTGTCCTTTTCTCTCTATCCTTCAGTGTGCAAACCTGAGCAAAAGTGAGTGAAGAAAAAGTGTTGTGTGCCAGCACTGGTCTTTTTTAGTCTGTTTGTCAGCACAAACCTCTGCATGTGGATGTGGTGAACTGTGAGTGTGTGTTCCACAGCATTTTGAGGTAATGTAGAGAGAAATGGCGTCCATGGGCTTTTGAGGTTTTCCTCTTCCAACGGATGCTCTCGCTGCTTTACGATCAACAGCCACTGATTTCTTTTGTCTCAACATACTGGTGACAGGCACTTTTCACTTCCTTGACATTGCTAATGTTTCTCTGTTTTGTTGATAAGACCGGGTTGTTAGTGAAGACTAAAGACTTACCTGCTGGGTTTTTTTTTTTTAGATACAGATTTTTTTAAATTGTGAAATTAGCTGCTTATAGAGGCAATAACATTGCAGATCTTGATATGTGCTATGTCTGTTTTGAAAGGTCGTTGAGGTACTTTCACAAGTTCGCCTTTTTTTAAAACTCTTTGAGTAAGGAACAAGTAAAAATAACTTGACAAACTCAACGGACCAGTTATGTTTGTCTTCCTCATGACAAGTGAGTTCTTAGTTCTCTCTTTCTATCCTGCAGGTCAACATGGCCCAGTGGAATCAGTTACAGCAGTTGGAGACGCGGTATCTGGAGCAGCTGTATCACCTGTACAGTGACAGCTTTCCTATGGAGCTGAGGCAGTTCTTGGCCCCCTGGATTGAGAGCCAGGACTGGTGAGTTGCCAGCAACAGGATGTGACATAAGAGACCTTAGCACTCTGAAGGTCTGTGTCTTATCTGAGCAGCTTAAATAATAACTCAAATAAATAAAGCTAAATTATGAATGTTATTTGGGCTCAGTCAGTGTTTTCAGTCGTTTAGTGTGCGGTGTCTAAAGAATTTAAGACCAGCTGTTGCCAGTCGTCCTCACAAAGATTATTTTTTATAATATTTGCAACTGATGCCGACGACTAACTGCACCTGTTTCCGAATATGTAGGTCTATTAATTTATATAATGAATTAACAAATAAAAAAAATAAAAGAAATGACATTTCTGAATTAAATTATTTTATACACTTTAGTTATATAAAATATAGCCTTTTTGAGGAAATATGATGAGGAAATACAGTGCCTTGAATAGGCTACATTTATGTAGAATGATGAAATGAAAATGAAATTACTTCTGTTTCGGAATAAATAAAACCGTATTTAATTTTCGTTCTAACTGATACTCAGGTTTTTTATGTGGACAGGTTGTAGCTACTGTAATCTGCAGCAGTATTTAGGGATTGGGGCTTTTGTGAATGATTTTAGGTTATGATGACAATGATGATGTTCGTGACGGTGACGGAGATGTGGTAGTTTTACTATGTCTTCCACTGTGTTCAATGTTTTTTTTTTTTTTCAATAGGATCACAGAAAAGAAGATTGAAATGACCTGAATATTGAGTCCGACCCTGTCCGTTAGTTACTAGTGCCCATCTCACATTTGCCCAGGCCCGCCCAAAAATAAAATTCTGCTTACACCTCTACACCATATAATCAAGATAAAAACAGATATAGCAACAGGTCTTTTCTTTTGTATTGTGACATATATATATATATATATATATATATAGTGCCGCTACAAAGTTTGTGAATTTTCTGTATTTCTGCATAAATATGTCACAAAACATAATCAATTTCACAAGTCCTGAAAGTAGACAAGAGAACCCAAACAAACAAGTGAGACAAAAATATGTTCTTTGTCATTTTATTTATTCAGGAAAATGATCCAATATTATATAATTCTGAGTGGCAAAAGTATGTGAATCTCTAGGATTGAAGGTGAAATTAGAGTCCATCTGTTTTTCAGAGTTGTTTTCAGTCAGTGAAATTACTATCAGGTGTAAGTTTTGCCCAGTTTTATTTAAAGAACAGGGATCTATCAAAGTCTGATCATGTTTGTGGAAGTGTATCATGACATGAACAAAGGAGATCTCTGAGCACCTCAGAAAAAGAGTTGCTGTTGCTCATCATGCTAGAAATGTTACAAAAACATCGCTAAAGAGTTTTGACTCCACAAATCCACAGTCAGACAGATTGTGTACAAATGGAGGAAATTCAAGGCCACTGTTACCCTCCCCAGGAGTGGTCCACCAACAAAGAACACTCTAAAAGCTTGTAAAAATCCACTAGGTTTCAAAGGACTGCAGGATAACTTCTAAGCAACTAAAGGCCTTTCTCACATTGGCTAATGTTAATGTTTATGAGTCCACCATCAGGAGAACACTGTACATCCATGGTGCATCCAAAAAGAACATTGCTGCCAGTCTGCAGTTTGCTAAAGATCATGCGGACAAGCCAGAGGGCTACTGGAGAAATGTTTTGTGGACAGATGAGACCAAAATATAACTTTTTGGTTTAAATGAGCAGCGTTATGTTTGTAGAAAAGAACACACTGCATTCCAGCATAAGAACCTTATCCCATCTGTGATGGTGGTGCTGGTATCATGGTTTGGGCCCGTTTTGCTGCATTTGGTCCAGGATGGCTTGCCATCATTTATGGAACAGTGAATTCTGAATTATACCAGCAAATTCTGAAGGAAAATGTCAGGACATCTGTCCGAGAACTGAATCTCAAGAGAAAGTGGGTCATGCAGCAAGACAACGACCCCAAGCACACAAGTCGTTCTACCAAAGAATGGTTAAAGAAGAACAAAGTTAACATTTTGGAATGAATGAGTCAAATTCCGGACCTTAATCCAATTGAAATTTTGTGGAAGGAGCTGAAGCAAGTTGTTCATAGGAGGGAAACCCACCAACATCATAGAGTTGAAGTGGTTCTGTACTGAGGAATGAGCTAAAACTCCTTCAAGATGTTGTGCAGGACTGATCAGCAGTTACAAGAAACTTTACCTGCAGTTATTATTGCAAAAGGGGGTCAGACCAGATACTGAAAGCAAAGATTCACATACTTTTGCCACTCACTGATATGTTACACTGGATCATTTTTCTCAATAAATAAATGGCAAAGAAAATATTTTTTGTCTCATTTGTTTGTTTGGGTTCTCTTGGTCTACTTTCAGAACTTGTGTGAAATTTTGATTATGTTTTGAGTCATATTTATGCAGAAATATAGAAAATTCTAAAGGGTTCACAAACTTTCAAGCAGCACTGTATACACATGGAGGTGTTTTTTTAGCAGCTTGTTATACTCCTAAGCTGTAACCTCTCCTAGATTTCATGTTTGAACTGCACTTCCTTATTCTTAGAATGCTTTTTAGTGATTGTCTTTAGAGTCATCTTTAGTGATGTCACGCCTCTGCCCGTAAAGTGCTCCTGGAAAGTCTGCTGTGAACAATAACATGAACCAGTGCCATTTTTTTCCTCTGAATTTCCTCATAGCATCAGCGTGAATGGCTTCTGTGTGATTCTGTTGTGGAATATGAAATGTCACTCTGAAATGACTCACAGCATGCATCTTTAATTCGAAAGAGTGGAGGAAAAAAAAAAGGGAAAGAAAATTATGCTGGGTAATTTTGGTTATCAACTAGTGAAATCTCCCATATGCTCCCATGGGGACAGCACCACACTTAGATAACCATTGGGTTGCAGCATATTAAGTGTTTGTGATGTAACATTTGAAGGGGTAATATGTTTATTTAATGCATTGTGCTTTTAATAGAATTAGTCTTTTTTCCCTTTTTTTTTTTTCCTTTTCTAAACTTTTAGAGTTTTGATACTCTGTTGTATAATTTCAGTGCTGTATTTCGCTTTGAAAGCCCAAAGGTATCGTCCTTCACATTACCCTCTCATGCACTCAGTTTTCTCGTTAGTGTGGTTAAAGTAAACCTGAGACAATACAAATAACCCATGGGATGTTTGGTTTGTTTCATGCTGACAGTGTCATAGAACTTTCTGAATGGATTATTTGTGCAGAGGAACATAATCATCAGTATAATGAAGCCTGTAATTATTGATAAAAAACACATTATTGCTTCAGGTCAAAGACTAGGGGAGTGCATTCGTACACCAACCATTCAAACACAATCCATTGTTTATGTAGATACACTCAGTCTTCACTCATTATTTGATCTCATTAAATTTGCAGTTGTCAAAGAGAAGCATGAAGCATGGCACATGTATGGCGGTAGATTTGTCAACCAGCAGATTTTAATGTCTCATTTAGACCACAGTAGATAACAACCCTGTTTTATGTTATTTACACTTGAGAGGAGTGAAATTTGAAGCTGTTTGCACTGATGCCAACCCTACTTATTTGCTATGAATCTTACCTTTTTTAGTTTGTTCCAAATAAAAACGAAAATAATCAAATTAAATTAAGTACTATTTATTTGTAAAGTATTTAAAGGGGTCCTATGATGTGATTTTTCCTTTCTCTTTGGAGTGTTACAAGCTCTTGGTGCATAAAGAAGATCTGTAAAGTTGCAAAGACTAAAGTCTCAAATCCAAAGAGATATTCTTTATAAAAGGTAAGAGTCAACCACGCCCTCCTAAAACGGCTCGTTCTAACGCCCCCACATGTCTACGTCATGATGTGGAAAGATTTGCATAACACCGCCCAAATGTTCACGCAAAGAAAGAAGGCGTAACTTTGATTCTCGCTGTAGTATTGTTGCGATGTTGTGGAAACACTGTGTGTTTCGTTGTGAAAGCGAAACTACTTTGTTTGGCCTTCCAAAAGTGGACGATATCCGCTTTGTCATGACTAGAGCTGATCCGTGCTGGTCGCTGAGGAAATACATCAACTTCGCGCTGTGGATCACCGGATCGGCTTTCACCGTGGATGAAGCGGAGTCCAGTCTGGGGTCGTCACATGTGGTTGCCACAATCCCGCCGGCCTCTCCTTCGTCGAATCCGCCGGCCGGCACGGTACAATGTATAATGTACATTATGTGTGCCGTTCTCAAGCCCGTCGGCGTCCGCTCACTCTAGCCCGCCGGCGTCCGCTCGCTCTAGGCTGCTGGCCGCTGCTCACTCTAGCCCGCCGTGTGTGACGCTGTTTCTCGTTGTGAAAGCGAAACTACTTTGTTTGGCCTTCCAAACGAGGACGCAACTAGAAATTAGTGGTTATGTTCCAGAACAGTTCAACCCAAATATTCAGATGTGTGCAGCGCATTTTGCGGAGGATGAGGACCGTTTCCTGTGAGAGTAGCCTACAATGCCGGTGTCTGTTTATATAAAGTGGGGCAGTTCCAACTTTGCAAGGACAGTCTGGCGCTTCTGACTCACAGCCTGTAAGTAAGTTTTTTTTATATTTAAAGAATTTGCCACTGACGATTCAAACGGGAGTTTTGAGCAGTGTGGAATAGCGCTTGTTGTTTGTTTCTCCGATCACAAATGCAGACATGGTTTTATGTTTACGCAGCGTGATACGCAACGCGTAAAAAGACAGTATAAGTCATTATAATCAGTAATTATGTCCCCACTGGATGCAACAAATGCCTAGCTTGTAATGGGTTTTATTGTTGTTGTCTTGTCGCACCAGGACACAGGGCATCACAGTATGGTAAGGGGCGTAACATTTCCATCACACACTTGAAGTATTCAGCCAATCACAACGCACTGGATAGCTGGCCAATCAGCGTACACCTCGCTTTTCAGACCGATGAGCTTTGTAGCAATCGATGCGCTTCAGAAAGGCGGGGTATAGAGGAACAACAATAACAACGTACATTATGTGGAATTTTTTTTTTAACATTAAACCGCATAAACACATTGCATTACACCAAATACACAACATGTTATTTTTAGCAACGTCATATGACCCCTTTAAATGACTGGATTATCAACAAATATGTATTTCCACATGGTTAATATATTTAATATACAAACATTTCTAGCAAAGAACTGTATTATACTGTATATACCAGTAGCTTAATATCAAATTACTCATACTTTGATCTAACATTTTGGTCATACTGCTTATCTTATACACATAGATATTTTATTGATGATATTTTCATGTGCCTTTGTTGACACTGGAAAATGTGCTAATGTGTGTCATTTGGCAAAAACTAAAGGGACTGAACCAGCTGTTTGACATTTTAAATTATTTTTATTAAAACTATAATGACGCCGTCTCTGTGAAAGTATTGCTGTTTTGGTTGTAGTTTTTGAATTCCTTGTTAATGCATAATGGATAACAGCGATGTGTGTTTCTTCACTGATGGCTGCCTTCTGAATGAGGTCAGCAGTTTGGAATTTGTGCTGAGTAACAGCAGAAAAACTGAGATCATGTGACTGATGATGATGGCAAACTGCAGTGACTCATACCTACACATGAGAGCCAGGACTTTGAAAATCCACACTATTTGCCAGTTTTTCCAGTTTAACTGTTTTTTTAGCATTTAGACAAAGACAGAAGTCTTTGACAAAGCTTTGGTTTTGTTGCAGATAATGACACGTGTAATTATCAAATGCATGTATGCAGGAAGCTGCTCAATACCCATCACATGAGCCTGTTTGCTTCTGTCTGTCACAGGGCGTATGCGGCCAACAAGGAGTCTCACGCCACGCTTGTGTTCCATAACCTGCTGGGGGAGATCGATCAGCAGTACAGCCGCTTCCTGCAGGAGAACAATGTCCTGTACCAACACAACCTGCGGCGCATTAAACAGCATCTGCAGAGCAAGTATCTGGAGAAGCCCATGGAGATCGCCCGCATCGTGGCCCGCTGCTTGTGGGAAGAGCAGCGTCTGCTGCAGACGGCCACCACTGCACAGCAGGTAGACACACACACATACATATATGCATATGTGCACAATTACACGATTCGTACAATCGTTGAGCTTCTATGGTGAATACATTTCAAGAGAGAAAATTATTTGATTTTTATTGAATGTTCCATCTGGGTTTCATTTATAAATAAATTCACAATTAACCTGCACATATATATATATACTTACCAAAAAGTCCTTTCCAGTCAAACACACAGTAATAGTTAGGGGTGTGAACCTACACTGGTCTCACGGTTCGGTTACGATTATCATGTCATTGATTCGGTTCGGTTCAATTCGATATCACGATGCATCACAATGCACCTCAATTTTCAATTTTACTTCATTTATACAATTTTGTCAATAAATACAAGCAGTCAGATATATGGAACTGTACCTGACCTGGTTTCTTAAGTTAGTGGTATTACCCCCTGCTAGTGATGTGACATTTGAACTGAGGCATCGGAGCTTGTCGAGAATAAATGGGCGTGCCAGATGAAGCCTCGATTCGAAGCTTGTGTTGTGTTGTTAATTGTCATAGAAATCACGTGACCAGTGACAAACAAAGCTTCACTATCTGTCCAGTCACGTGCGCATTTCACTTTGCGTGTTGAAATGTTCGATCCCCCAGATCTTACTTTACTTCTATTCAGTTACATTTTAGATACCCAGTCATACAAGTAATATGAAGAATACAAATTATTTCAGATATTTGTCATATGCAATTCATATGTGAACATTATTCTTCTATTACATCATATTGATATTCGTACTGGTATTAAATTGAACAGCTTAATGGGTAAATTAATTTATCAGAGACAGAAATTCAACAAACACAAACACACACACTGTTAGGCTTTTATTTGTGCACGTAACTTGAATCAATCTGTGGAATATGTGGTAGATGCCTTGCCCTACCGAGCGTCTTTCATAGGCTTTTGGCTGCAATATTTTTTATTAACCACCAGAAGGCACTGTTTTCGAGACACTCAAAGCTTTGAATCTTTTCCTGAAACAGTCAGAGGAAAGCCTCAGTGCTTCACCAGGCTTCATTTGCCCATCTCTACCCCCTACACAGGGACAGATTATGACACAGCGGTGCCCTGGGCACGGACCGATTAAAGGCCCCCCTCGGTTTAAATTTTGTTCCTTTTTTATTCAAAATTTTTCCAAACTTGTTAACTATATCATAAAATATCACGATTCTCAAATATAAGTAAATCCATTTTGCACCTTTATAGATCATGTTAGTTTATCTATAATGGGCTATGGGAAAAGTAGCCTAATATTAGTGTAATCTATTAACTAGCCTATGCATAAAACCCATCTTTTAACTTGTACTAGATATGGGTGTCATGTCATAGAATATTTTTAATATGACTGACTTTGTATTTAAGGTAAATTTTATAAAAACATTGTAAGTTACTAGTTATAACACTTTCATTGTACATAAAGAGAGCAAAGAATATTTGCATTATCAAAGAATATTAACTTCAGTCTAGACGGAGTTCAAGCACTCTCAACAACTCCCATTATAATCACTGAAGCTGTTTATACTGTGAAATGAATATCTTACTTGCATCGTACACACATCTGCACTTTGTTTATTATGAGAGAATTCACCAGAGAGCAGCATTCAGTCAGCGAGCGTGCGCACTGAACAAAACATGGGCTTTTCAGCGATGACTCATCTGAATGCCTCTGATTGGCCATTGCATTCATAATCTCAACAGAATCCTGTGTGATTGGTTATAATGCGCAGCACTGTAGAGCCAGCCAAAGCACAATCGCAGATTTGAATTTGGCAGCTGATGCTGTGCCGCACTGAACATTCTAATCGTATCAAATATAAAAAATATATATTATTCAGCCATTTTTGATCTTTTGGAAGCTGCATTCAAAATTCACTTTGCTTAAAATCCTGAGGGGGCACGGTTGAAATCGCGTTCTTGGAGGAGCAGTAATTCGGCTGGGCCCCCCTCTGGTCTAGTGCCCTGGGGATGTGCCCGGTAGGCCCGTGCGTTAATCCGTCCCTGCCCCTACATATTTCATTGTGCGTGACATGATTTACACACAGCGTGTGTCTTCTCCAGGTCGTGCTCAGGTTGTTCCTAAAAGCTGAAATGTCTCCAGATGTCGCTTTTTACATAGTTGGAGCATTTTTAATTACTCGCACTCGCGTCTCGCCTCCCTCTGCCATTAGGTGCGTTCGATTTGAAGCAGCGCTGCGCAGGATGAGTGTATGACATCAACCGGGATACACTGATCATTCTGGGCAGCGGTGCTTCAAGCCGAACGCCTAATGTATGCTACCGCGACAAAGCACGTATGCAACAAATGACATCAGAAAAGCGTCAGTACGTTAAAATCGGTTATGGTCTATTACTGAACCGATACCGAATCGTCCTCGTCTGCATCGCGATGCATCGAAGAAACGATTAATTTCGACATTCCTAGTAATAGTTTACACAAAGTGCTTGGAAATGGATTCCACTTTTTAACGACATATTCAGATTTCTTTTTCTCCAAATATCTTGCACATCTCTAGGATGGCCAGGTTGCCCATCCCACTGGCACTGTGGTGACAGAAAAACAGCAGATACTAGAACACAACCTGCAGGATATTAGGAAGAGAGTACAGGTCAGTACATAAAATCACACTGTAATTGACTAACATTGATTTGTCTTGTTCACAGTTACAGGTACATATGCATCACTTGATCATCTCTACAAACAGATGCTGTTTTGAACACACACCTTTTCTTTAACAGCATTTTTTGACGTGTAGAAGTAGTCATCTTGCAAGGGGGTTTTCAAACTTGTGATGCCACAGACCCTCAAATATGATGATCCCCTTCCTAAAATAATAAGGCATCTAGATATTTTTATGTATAAAGACTAATTTGTTTTTTTAACATTTTATGGAAAATATTCCTTTTTTTGTTATGTTGACACTATATTTTTTCTGTTCACTATTAGAGTACTGATAGATGTGTAAACCTGAATATAAGATACAACTAGGACTGTCAATAGAATAAAATAATTGTGATTAATCTACTCATTTCAGACTAGTTCTTATAAAAGCTGTGATTAAAAAAAAACGTATTTACCCTTTTTTAATAATTATTGCCCCTCTTTTCTTCATTTTTCATTTTGTAATGTTCCACAAACCCCCTAGCACCCCCTTACAGCCCCAGTTTGAAAGCCCAATTTTTAACATATTGCCCTCGAGTACAAAATGTCTTATATTTTGCCCTTTATGGGGTACATCCTCTCACTCATCCGTCTGCCTTAATCTTTTTGTACAGGATATGGAGCAGAAGATGAAGATGTTAGAAAATCTGCAAGATGATTTTGACTTCAACTACAAAACTCTTAAAAGTGCTGGAGGTATGATGAGTACATGTACAAGTCTTTTTTCTGTCCAAAATCTCTCTAATAGCCTCAATCACTGATAAAATCTCAACAAATCTGTTACCTTTCAGAGTTGTCCCAGGACCTGAATGGAAACAGTCAGGCAGCAGCCACCAGGCAGAAGATGTCTCAGCTTGAGCAGATGCTGAGCGCTCTGGATCAGCTGAGGAGGGTGAGATACAGAATCAAGTCACAAAATACAATAGCCCCTTTCACACAGTAACACCAGTAAATTGCCGTAAAATTACCAGAATGACTTTACTAGTAAATACAAAAATGCGCTGTTCACACAGGCAATGACGTTCTGTCTTTTTACCAGTAAAGCACCATTCACACATCAATTTCAAAATGCCGGTAAATTCTGTTACATCGTTAACCAGAAATGACCTCTAAACGGCTGTGCGTCCCGGTGTTGTGTTTGTAAACATGGAGGGGTAAATGTGGCCAGTGTTTTTGTTGATGTCTTCATGTTTGTGTCAAATGTTCACATTCATGTAGCTGCTTTTGGCCCAGAGATATCGCATTAGATGACTTCAAACCGTACTACACAGTGGGGAGTAAATGTGTCATCTGCATCAGAATGTTATAATTGGCCCAGAACCATTTAATTTTAAATATTTTAACGGCTCTGGATTGGCCCAGAGTAGATGTCTTACGTCAGTGCGTTCTGAACTTGTACATGCTCATACCGGTAATCTTCATTCTGCGTTCACACAGAGCGCATTACTATTAATTTACTGGTAATGTTACAACTTCTCATACCGGTAAATTGCTGGAACGAATTTACCAATATTTTTGGAAAGGTCCTGTTTACACATGATCTCTTAACGGTAATTTACCAGTAAAGTCTGTGCATGTGAAAGGGGCTAATGTTGACTTCTAGGGTCTTGAAATTACAGCCCAGAAAATCGTTCATTACATTCACACTGATCACCCTTGGTTCAAAAGTTCAACGTTTTTCTGTTTTGCAGCAAATAGTGACTGAGATGGCAGGGTTGCTGTCTGCCATGGACTTTGTGCAGAAGAATCTGACAGATGAAGAACTGGCTGACTGGAAGAGGAGGCAGCAGATCGCTTGCATTGGAGGACCACCGAACATCTGCCTGGACCGCTTAGAGACATGGTACACAGTCCGTTCACAGCCAAACCTGCTTTTAAATCGCACCTTTTTCTGGATTGGATCATTTAAAAAAAAAAAAAAACTCTGTCTTTCAGGATCACCTCTTTGGCTGAGTCGCAGTTGCAGATAAGACAGCAGATCAAGAAACTGGAGGAGCTTCAACAGAAGGTCTCATACAAAGGAGATCCGATTATTCAACACCGCCCAGCTCTGGAGGAGAAGATTGTAGACCTGTTCCGCAACCTCATGAAGAGGTTTGAAATCACTCATGTGTAAACTTTATAAACCAACGAAACAGGATCTGATCAGTGATGTTTGCTTGTGTCATTGCAGTGCATTTGTTGTTGAGAGGCAGCCTTGTATGCCCATGCACCCTGACCGACCACTTGTCATCAAAACAGGAGTTCAGTTCACCACCAAAGTCAGGTGGGTACACACAGTGGTGAGTTATAAAGAAAAGACGTCTAGACACACATGGTAAATTTTTCCCCCTCCCCTCTTTCAGGTTACTTGTGAAATTCCCAGAGTTGAACTACCAGCTGAAAATCAAAGTGTGTATTGACAAGTAAGTCCCATTTCCTGCCCGTGACATCATAATGAAATGACTTTGACATGCCAAATTTGAATTTTTTCCTCCTGTGTTCTGCAGGGAGTCAGGTGACGTGGCAGCCATTCGAGGGTAAGTTTTTAGGTTAAAATGATGCCGTTCTCACAGAGATAAACTGTCATATGGTTATTTGCAGTTATAGGCTGATATACATTGGGCAGGCCAATTAATTGGCCAGTATTTGGGCAATAAAATAAATATTTCAGCTATTTTGTAGAAGTTTCATTTTTATAATTAAATTATATTGTACAGTTACAAAAAATGTGGTGAAATGAAGTCTCTTTCTTGCTTGTACCTGTAAAAATTTTTGCATTACGGATAGGGATGCACCGATACCGATACTGAGCTCCTGTACTCGTACTCGTTAAAATACGCCGATACCACACAGCATGTGATAAGTGCCATATTCAGACAATGAAACACCGACAACAGACAGCAGAATGGAGTTATTAGAGATTAAGGATGTCTACGAAGTATATGTATGCAATGAATATAATGTTAAACATTCAGTATTAACTCCTGTATGGCTGATGTGCGCGAGTTGATAAGCAAAGTGCGCTGAGTGGATTGAGTGCGCGGTGGCGCAGATGCGCGAGCTTGTCGAGTGAATATACCTTTCTCACAGACATCACTGGAAAGTTTGTAGTTCGGTCGGATACGTCAAAAACAAGTAAGTAAAACAATGCACAAGTTACTTAACGGTAGAGAGAGAGAGAGAGAGAGAGAGAACGCACGCAATTCTGTTGTGTGATCTTTGATGTTCACTCACTTAGCACACGCATCATTTGGATTAATACTAAATCGTAAAAATAAGACCATTTATAGGGGCATTCACTATAAATGTCATTTATTTTTAACCTTAGGCATACACGACTTTCTGGCGAAAGTGAATCTAACAGCTTGTGTGAAATGCGCTAGGCTGTACTTTTCTGCACCAGTACAAATACGTGCGCGCGTTGCACGTGTTTTGCTTGCTTGATTGTTTCTGCATTATATGAGTGGCTTTGGAATATAAAGCCACTCATCGCAGCATGTTTCAGATGGAAAAAAAACGCGACTTCTATTTCTGAAATATCACAGTTAGGAGATTTATAACGAGTGGTTCCCTGCATTATTACAGCAAAGCGCGTGATTACAGTACTAAGCCGCTGCAATGGAGCAGCTCTAATGCTATTAAATTAAAGATGATGTACCATAGAGC